TTGAAACACATGGTTATATTTGCCATCATACATTATCCTTATAAAATAAACATATATTTGTATGTTATACAAAGATTTTTAAAATGTCTACATTTTATTTATGATGAGAGAATTTTGCAATATATATTATATCAAAGAGCATTTGTAAAATTGTTTTCTTACTTTTTGAAATTCAATTCGAAGTGTGTTGGAGTTGTTTATCTCACAACTTAATATTTTGGGTTAGACTGAAAGTAAAGTTAATTAATGTACGATAAAAGCTACCTAAATCCTTTAATGTCATGCTAAGTCTCAGTAATTACATTAAAAGGTCGTTCATTTTAACGATTAACTACGAACATAAGATCATTACTATAACCTAGTATTAAATGTACATACACCTTAATATCAACATTTTTCCACATTGTACAAATTTTAATAAAACACTTCAAGAAACGCGTAACAGTTACACTTTTAGGACAATGTATAACAGAATTCAACAAAAACATCGAAAAGGCAACAAAAATGTTAAGTTTGTCAAAAAAATACAAGCTTGTGTAGCTTTAACGGACGTTTCGACATTTCTTGATCACTTTTAACATCATTTCTGAAATGCATGCCAGCCAAAAAATAGATGAAGAAATTCACCGCATGATTCATATCATCCAAGGTAATGCAAATTACTTTCCAGAAATAGTAAACCATCAGGTCTATATATTCACAGTTCAAAAGTATTATAATCCAGGTGGTAAGATTGTATATAAAATACGGAAGTTTTAATAATACAAAAAATGTATTTATGATTACCACAGTGTAAAATATATTTCTAAATTCCTTTTTCCTTAACTTTGACATTGTGTCTACACGTGCATAAAGTTTGAGAAGAATGGCAACGGACCCAATCACTATGATGATGATAGGTAACAGGAAGTTGACAAGAAATTCAAGCAATGGATGAACGATTCCAAAGTACTTAATTAAACTGTCATCGGGGGTCGGGTCACAAAATATGAAGCCGTCAGCAAAAACGGCTTCAGACTGGATAGAAGCAAATAGAGTAAAACCAAAGCTCATCGTCCAAAGAATGAACAATGAAACTTTAATTATTGATGGGCTGCAAATTATTTTTATTTTGTGAGGAAAATAAACAGCAAGCGTTCGTTCAATAGTTATGGCCGTTCTTATTAAGGAGGAGATCAATTTGCCAAAATCAATAGCGAAACTTCTAATTTTGCAGTCAATATCCATATTCAAATTTTTGATGTCAACTTTGTTCTTTGCACTTACAGAAGCCATCAAATCAGCAACTGCAAGTGAAATAAACAAGGCTGATGTAGAAAACACACGATTTTTCTTTAGCAACAATGTTATGATGATAAGGGTGTTTCCAAAAAATGCAACTGCAGCCATTATTACTGGCAAAATTTCCAGAGCTATGTAGAGTATCCCCTTATGAAAGTCTGATAGCTCATTCTGTACCTCATCATAGTACATGTAACCGTAATAATAAAGGTAGTCATAACTGCTGTCCGATGTGTTTCTAGGAGAGACAGCTGGTTCCTCGCATGTTGGTAGGTTGCCCATCACTAAAATCATAAGGAAATTGTAAAATATTACCTCTGCAGAGCAAGAACCTTTAGATTTACGTTGGTTTCTGCTGTAGGTGTTTTTTATAGACGTGGATGCAATTTTGCAGTTTTATTTTATAAGAAGCAGACTTAAGGATGACAATATTGATCAGTATTTGATTAAATTAAAATTACCTTGAGATTTTATTGTAATTGGTTATGACTGAGTACACAGACTTGCCACTGTAATCAATTAAATTACAATTACTTTAATAGGGTAATTGATTGATAATTGATTACATTCAATGCATAATTGAAAAACAAACGTTCAACTGTATCATGTGAAATAAAGGCATCCTTTGAATTCTAATATTTTTGTTAAATCTGAAGGTACAGTAAAACATCCAAAACCGAACAATTTGTAGGTCCTCCTTTTAAATTCAATGAAAACAATCCTCTTAATACCGGAACCTCTGAATTCCGAAAACCGGACAATTTTCTATGGCTACTAGTGCATAAAATCATCTAAACAGGGCAGCAATAGAAGTCAAAATGTCTGTGTAATAAAAAGTTGACTAAGATAAACTCTCAGCAGGTGACATGTTCAATTAACACTTAATGGTCACCTTGTTTTTACTTGTGCAGTCGTGAAAAAAATGTCATTCCATTATTACATATTTCAAAAGCCAATTAAAATGTTATATTTCAGACAATGTGCTTATTCTAATAAATCTAATTTTCTGAATTATATATGAATTTGCATAATAAAATTTCTCAAGATATTTATGGCAAAAAGAAATAACAATATGACTTAGACAAAATTGTTGCAAAGTAAATACAAAATGATTTAAACAAAGTCAATGTTGATACACACCATAATTATCAATAAATGTATGAAATCTCTGAAAACTGCAATCCTTTTAAAAAATGACTGTTGGTCAAGTTCGGACAGAGTCCGGTTTTTAGAGATGAAAAGAATGTTTGATTTTGTCTCAATTTTAAGTAACAGTGCAGTTATTGACAGGTAGAGTCTCCCCAAATTAACGGAAACTATAAAAAAGTTGTTTTCATTACAAAATATACAAGTAAATGCAAAATGCATTCCTTTAAATAGTATTGATACATTTTATTTATGTTGCATATTTTGAAAACACATTACTACCAGATCTAGACATCATTTATTCACAAATGTATTTATTTTATAATATAAGATAATATAAAAAATAATAAAAAAGATAATTTTCTATATTCCTGATAAATTTTCTTTGCGATTTGCAGCCTGTATTATATGACTTGTTTAATCAATTGCATTTTGTATTCATAATATATAAATGTGTGTAAATGATTTTAAAGAAAATATATAATTTAAGAATATATGCATACATACCCGTAGCTTTGTACAAGAATGTAAACTTGTAAAAACTTCTTGAAACTTTTCCATGTGACAAAGTACCATTGCCTCCACATCTTATATAAGTATATTAAGCAAAGAGGGTTGTTTATGATGAGCAAATATTTGAAACTGTTATGCATGGCTGATATGAAATCAAGTCTAAGATGAAATATAACGTTTATTCTTGAAGTAAGAATTAATTTGAAATTATTCTATATGGATAAAAACGATTAATTAACTTATTTTATTGATATTATTGATTTCTTTATAATAAATAAAAAAAAACATTCTAAAATAAAACAATTATTTTCAGTAAAAATGTAAAATCCTTTTATCTTTTGAATTGTATTTTAGTGTAATTCAGTGTAATTGTTTACAATAATTAACCGAAAAAAAATACAAACCATTATGCAAGGAGTTCTTAAAAAAGAGCTCCGTTTAATGTTCGCGCTAGGTACAATATTAATACATGTTTAAAGATCCTGTTACACATACTTTTATGGATTTAAATCAATTATTGGATGCACAAATTACTGATTTATCAGTATTGCCGGTTCCAAAAAGCATTATTTATAAAGATATTACCGAATTTAACATTTCATGTAAATAATGGGAGGTAATATAAATCTATTTTCTATAAAATTAAAGTCAACTTTTACAATAAGAAATTAATGCATATATTTAACTGATTATATATAATATGCAGACATATTTGCAGTACATATTTTATATATTCTTTGATGTTTGAAAATTGTTTTATTTGCATAATTATGTACTTGTACATATATATAACTTCACTTAGTGTGGTTTACCACGTTGATCACAACATACAGGATCTTTAATAACAGTTATTAATCAAAGAAAAACAATATATTTAACCCTAACTATAAAACACAATCGTTCTAGTACATTTTTGCATTTCGTGTGACAAAAATACGCATAAATACCATATTTATGAAGCATGCACATTTTCAAAACCTAGTTTTACAAAGAGTATTTTGAATGTGCCCTTCGATCACGCATCTTTTCATTTTTCAGCATTTATGAAGATGATCGCTCTAGTTTTCAGTATTACAGTTTCAGTTTACAAAAACAACATAAAATACATTAAGGTGATTGGTACATGGTATTAACAGACATTTTAAGTAGGTTATATGATATTTTATTCTTACTTTCATAAATTTTTATTGTCGCTTATTACTCTGACAACATGTTCCATAGGGACAACTATTACCTGTATGCGCCCGTGTGTGTTTCATCATTTTTATTATCATAAAAGCAAAAACATGTAATTTAAGTCAGATTCGGAAATATCGTTCAGTAGTCATTATAAAACCATTGTCTTAGATAAGTTAATACCTATAATATTTTTTCTTCGGAATATTTTGTTACTCGTGTATTGGCTTTGTAAAACGTTAAAAGACTGCAGACATATATTCAAACAAAATTCGTCAGTCAATTTGCATTATTTTCTTATCATTCAAAAGTCATCTTATCAGTTAAAACATACAACTAAGCCATTGAAATGAGTATAACATGCTGTGTCTGTTTTGGATTGAACTATCATCCAGGAAAATGGTATGGGCATTTAATCCCGGACAGTAATCAAATGGGTAAAAATATCCCGTCAAATTTGTCCCGTCAAGAAATAACATGTTAACCACAATGGAGACCCTTTTTTCAAAATTTGCAAATTTCGAGAATATTTGATGGTCTTTTGATTCCTCTATACATATTTTGCACCAATTAATATGTAGAAGATATTGAACGTGTGTAGTTTTCAAAGGGATGTTTTTGATAGGGTTTTTTAAATTACAAAATGCTAGGCCCTTGCTTTAACGATGCCTAGGTAGTTAAAATAGAACACGCGAGAAGCCGCATTTAGTGAAGCACTAGTAATCGTTTATGCTCTTCCATGCAGGAAATGAAAGCATCTATCTGCTAAATGATACAAAACTCACAAAAGCCATATATTAGATAAAATATTGCAAAATTTAGTCATTTTTTAGTTTACAAGTTTCATTGCACGAAACGTTAAAAACAAACTAAACTGTGTTTAAAGGTCCCATTGATTGACGCTTTTACATTTTGAATATAGCAAGATATAAGTACAATAAATCGAACGCACTCGTTACCGACGAAAAATACCGAATGGTTACCTGTTTATAAACCCATAAAGTTCCCCTTTAAACACACCTGTACGGAAAGGGACGGAAATATTTCCGGAAAGTGCCGATCGGCATTTTTCCCCAGTTGCTCGGGTGTGACGTCATTCCAAGTACATACAATGGCCGACTACAGAGAAATACATGACAGCGAGAGCGAATATTCGTCAGATATTGCTTTTTCTGAGAGTGAAGATGAAGAGATACAGACTTTACCTTACCAGTTTGAGCCAATTGTGCGGCTTGATGAAGGAAATTCCAATAATCAAGCCGATGTGATCGAAAACGAAGAGCCGGAACGATCGGGCAACACAAACTGGTATGAAATTGTAAAGCACTTCTTTTTCATTGTTTTGTTCAGTGGTGCAAATTCGAGTTTCTATACACCCAATGGAAAGAATATTGTAAAGTTATTTAATTAATAAATTCAATTGTATATATATTTAATATAGGAGTATTACTAGATTTTAACAAGTAACATACCCCACCCACTAAAATCAATTTCGGCAATGAATCGGCACTAAATAAAATTAAACAACATAAGACCATACCTATCGTAAATAACATTCACAAGAAGTAAATTTAAAACTAACAAAATCGAAATAAAATATTTGTTGACTGTTCTTACGGAAATAAAAACACGTCAATACATTTTTAAAAGGCATCAAGGAGACCCCTCTGTATATATTTGCTGAGTGAAAACTTTATATGTATTAAACCAAGAAAATGAGATTAACCTTATATACTGTTGCTTTAGACCCCGAGACTATTCCAGAATAAAGTCTAGTTTACTAAGCTGATTTTTTCTTTCTTGTACTATCATTTCAGGTGTGAATGTGAGAACTGTAGAGCAATGGATACAGACAAAGAATCTATCTGTTGTAATGAGATTGACAGTGTGAAACTAAAGATAGAGCAGTATAAGGAAGAAACAGCAACTGAACTTTCCTGTATAACCCGGCATCCTGGTTTCCAGTCTGTTTGTCTTGACAGGTATGTCTTGGAGACTGCCTACTACCAGTACAGACAACTATATGGCGAGGTTGAGCATACAAACAATGAGTAAGTGTAATGACTTGATAAATATAAAATTAATTTTTTGTCAATAGTTTAAACTATTCAACTGATATGTTCTGTGTTTGTGCACTACATAAGTCTTGAAGGCATTTTCTTAGAGGTGACGTGGCTGAATATGGTATTGTGCCTGTGAAATTTTGTAAAATTATTTTATACTTTACATAATTTATACAGGCCAACAGGGGAAATGAAATTCTTGAGATTTTTATCAGTTACTTAAGGCATAGATATACATACAATATTTAGCTTCATACTTAAAAATGGCTACACACTTTGTAATAATATTCATGTAAAGCTATAATTTATTAAAATATTGTAATGACTTCCCAGATATTGCTCTGACAACTAAATAATTTGCTTTTTTTCAGACGACAGAGATATGTTGCCTACAGGCAGTTAGCCAGGTGGTGTTGGGGATACCTTGGCAAAGAAGTTCGAGTTGTGCTTCCCTCATGCGCTGTAAACTTGATAAGAAGTACTTTCCCGTCAGACGTTTACAAGGGGTTTTCTGATGCATGAAATAAATTATATTATAAAAAGAATTATTAAAAGTTGTGAATGTAAATGAATTTTTTCTTTTCTCTTGTCTACTGGTTATTTCCAATCTCGAGTTGAAGCACCTGGCTGACTAGTAGATTATTTGAATCCAATGTCCATAGAGGGACTGTCAAAGACAGAAAAGGCTGGGATGCATTTGTATACCAAATATCATGATGCTGTGATGTTACGAAAAAAATTTACCATTGACCATTAATGTCGAAAATTTAACTAAGTTAGTAAACAGGAAGTGGTTGAGCTACAGACCTAAAATCAAAATCCACGGTATGGGACCACATGTTAATGATGTATGCCAAATATCAAGAGGCTGTGATAAGTAGTTGCTGAGAAAACTGTTACAGTTCCCCCCCCCATCTGCCCGCCCTACATTCACCATACTATAACCAGGGTTTGCACCTGTGCAACCCGACCAAAAATCTATTAATAGCTGTGGTCTCTTTGTTAATGTGTCGCTATGAACCTAATTTGTACAAAATCTGAAAAGTATCACACCTATACAGCTACTGACCCATGGTTAAATAAGCAGAACAACAATTAAATTTGCAACAAATTTAATCTTTATCATGCAACTAATGCTTTTAAATAACTATGAACAAATTTATTTTTTCAACAGCATTCTATATCAATGAACATTAAAAAACATTCAGCAAAAACAATAAATCTCTATATACAAATCAAGCAATAATATCCAGTAAAGTCTAAACGCCATAACCAAAAAAATTGCAATTCTGTCACACAACTGAATAAAATATGCAAATGATCATACAAAGAATTGATATATGCTGAGAATATGTGAAAATCTATGTCTGTCATGTTTGGGCCATTTTGGCACAATAAAAATACTGTTCATTTAGCAGAATTCCTTTTAGCTTGAGCATGGAATATAATACTGTCAGAAAATGAATATGAAAAAAACTATCCAAAGCCCCTATTGCTTTTAATCTGGGCTATATTTAAGAAAGGGAAGATAATTCTGTATGACTGATGGAGTTCATTGCCTAAGAAATGGGCTTTGGCAAACAATTTAAATGGAAAAAGATGCAATTGTGCGACCATTAAGTAGTCTTTAGTATTATTGAATTAAAAGAAAATTATTTATACAAAATGGTTCAATGTTATTTCACCTTTTCAAGTTTCAATTCATTCCTTTCAGTTGGTTTTATTATACAAACTTGCATGTACAAAAAGTTAGGTGTTATGCCCACACCAACTGCACACCTTGACGAGTACAATAAATGTCATTTTTCTTCTAATCCTTGAGCTAAAATGCATACACATGGAAGTGAACAAGCAATCAAAGTTTGAAACGGATAACATCTGTAGTTGTAAATTCTTTAAAATTAAAATACAATTAATACATGTATATGGATGCTTGAAGCCCAACTTTTATAAAAACGACTTGTTAACTTTTTTGAGTGTAAAATATATATATTTATATTACATTTATTCGTGTTATCTTCCCTTATCATTTATAATAATGAAAATAAAAGCCATAACTATTTACGTATGTATAAAACGCTCACTGGTGTCATAAATTTTAAGCAAGTAACATAAATGCATAAGTAATAACGTAACTTTCATTTTGTGTCAAGTATAATTATCCTTTCATACATGTACATAAAGTCGTTTAAATCAAGAAAAAAATTAATAGTGGGTTAAAAATAATTATCATGACGTTCCTTGTTTACTGAATTATATGTGACATATATGATTATATGTAACATTTGTAATTTGTAATAATCATTTGTGGATTGGTATAAAAACGCCTGCAACACACATACACGTATGATTTTTGTGATTATAGTTATTTTGTTATGAACATATATAATGTACGGTATAGAGTTGGACGCTCCGATCTTCATAATCATATGGACGAGGAAAATAAATAACATGGAACGGAATTTTTTTTTGAAACCGAAAGAACCATTTTTGTGTACTTTGCAATTGACTTATGTTTTATGGCGTATTTTTTATTCATAATATTACAGATATAGAAATTATTTAGGCAGATTTGACTTAAATATTTTAGTTACATATTCCAGAAAGATAACATTATATGCATTTCTGGTGTATTTGTTAATCAAATTCAAATTAACTCTGAGATAATTCTTGATCATTGTTCAAATGTTCTGAATTTGTTTTTTTGTTTTTATCAATTAATTGAAAGCATAATGTATTATGCAAATATACATAAAACAACATTAACAACAACATATTGCTATCATTAAGTGTAATTCATTAGATAATTTAAGCCTCGCTTCTGAACATCGTACAAAGATGCTACGATCATCTAATAATCAACATATTATATTATTATCGACAAAATATCTAAAAAAGAAAACTATGAATGGGTAGGTTCTAATTAAAAGATAATACAGGGATATACAGTTAAGAAGTTTATACCTCTAAAGGAAGAAAGGAGGAAATAACGCTAGGGAATGATATATGCATAGCCCATGGGTAAAAAAAATCTGGAAACAAGGCGATCCCTCGGAAGCAATAATCACAATAAAATTACATAAAAATTGCAGACTCGGTTTGATTGAGTCTGTACATGAGGGTTAATGAAAAAGTGCAGCATCCCTCATGTTCCTAGCACCGGCTTGAGCGGTACTCAATTCCCAACATTTAATAGTGCTGGCATCAATGATCCCGAGAGACCAGAAAAATAAAAAGTCTACTTCAGAGTGTGCTTGTCATAAAATGTATCGTTTTCAAAAGCTATTTGTATCTGTATAACTATTAATTAAGGTAAGTGTCATTGTCTAAAGAGTCATTCCCAAATCTAAAGTAAATGGGTGGATGATGTGAAGCATTTCTGAAAAGATCGACTCTCTTTCGTTTGTGTAAGAAAATGTGATCTGTACCCTCAAATCAGCTACCAGCCTAAAATTTCCTGACACAAGATTTGTTTCAGAGCTGCTTTCGATAAACTGCGTGATGAAAAACTGTCTCCCAGTTACTATATAGAAGATACAGGTTTTTAAATGTTCATCGTCAAACTTGTTTAAAACTCGATATAGACAGGGCATTTTGTCGGACGTTAGTAAATTCTAAGGAGAGATAGTTGTCAGTTGTCAAAAAGCTGTGTATTGCAATATATATAATTCGTAAATGATCTGAGTTTCAAAGTCTTCAAACTAAAAAATATATCAGCGATTTGGTCAGAGAGAAAAATGGATTTTGGACAATAAAAGACAACAAGCAAAAGATTATTTTCATGACTCGAACATCTAGCCCGATTGTTAAGATAGTATTGATTTTGAGAACAAATCGTCGAAAGGCAGTAAATGAGTCTTTACTGACGACGTGTTGGGCTTTCTTTAGGGATTCTGTATTTATCTATTTTATGATCACATCCGTGTTATTTGTGCCGTGTGGCGGCTGTAAAAAGTCTCCCCGTACATTTAATCAATGATGTTATATTTTCGATCCTTGAAGATCGTTCAGCACGACATTATTGTTGTGCTTGTGGTATTTTTCGTTTCAACTTTTCGGCATTTTCTAGTTGGGTGGTTCCAATATTCCTACTTGAATAATGTTGAATCACCCATAGGATATGTTGCCTGCTTTTTAAATTTTTCTTTTGACGTCTTATCTGTGATACGCAGGCTTCATAACCTCTGATCCCCTTTTAAAATTCCATTTTATTTAGTTCCGCCCATTGTTTTCTCGTTTAGGGCACACGCTTTTTATTACTTGGGGACCATACGCCGCTTTTCATGGAATGGCACGGAAGTGTCACATTGATGATTCCATAATAACCGCCGTATGAACACATCTGCGGATGTTTCTAAATTCAAAATTTTACTATTTCATGTTTAAATGTTGAATTCTGCTTAAGCCGGTGCTAGGGGGCGTGGACGGTAACTTGCACTTTCCAGTACCGTCCATGAACAGGCTCAATCAAACCGAGCCTGCAACATTTTCAATTTTGCCGTGTTGGGCTTTCTTTAGGGATTCTGTATTTATCTATTTTAACATTTACTAAGATCTACTTACTAGATCTTACCAAATTTGTCTGCATTTCGATGTGGTTCACAGGATGTATTGGTCTAGCCAAATTGTGATACAGAATTGATTTAATTATAAATAGAGATATTTGGATATCTTGTTTTTTTCCAATATTAAAGTCAACGACGAACAATTGTGATCTTAAAGCTTAGTAAATATTTGCAGTGTCTGAAAACAAAATATTATGTATAAATGAGGGCCCTTGAATTGCATGAATATCACCTGATTTAATCAAAAGCTTTGAAATCCAAGTAACTTATTCGGAAATGGGGGTTGATCCCACTCGTTAGCAATTGTTATGGTCCGTAGACCCTATACTTACTGAAGAATATGATATCTAAGTCACAATTGAGTTATGCTAGAATGCAAGTAATATAAGGGGTGTTCAAATATGAATGCAATTAGGCCAATATCTCGCTTAAATCTATGTTTTTCACAAACTATGTACATGTATCGCATATATGGTTATTTAAGCTCTCCATTGATACAATAAATGTGGAAGTAAGTCCAGTCTAGCTTTCACGATAGCTCGATAAACTCTATCTACTCGTGTATACTTAAGCTAAAATGGTTTGGAAAAGGTCGCCTTTCACTAACCAAATACGGTCCTATAACAAGAACTGCTGTGTTCTTGGTACACAGGCGAAAGACATGTAATGAAATAAGTGTTTATGGGAACAATGAACTTTCTTTTCATCTGTCACACAGTGGTGAAGAAATTTAGAAGTGGTGTGGATCCAGTAAAAGATGTACCTCATGCATGCCGTCCGAAAACTACAACTTCGCCAAAAATGGTTGAAAAAGTAAATGTTTTGATTGTTTCTGATGCACGATTTACAACTAGGTATATTGCTTTAGGCGTTGATATCTCTGTAGGAGCCGCTGATACAATTCTCAGAGATGATTTAAAAATGAGAAGGATAAGCGTCAGATGGCTACCCCACCTCCTTACAAAAGAACAGAAACATGCTCGGGTAAGAATCTCCAAACAATTGTTGAAATAATTTTCTAAATACAACAATCGATCGTTAATATCATCACTGGCGATGAGACGTGGATTCACTTAAATGAGCCCAAGCAAAAGACACATAACAAAATATGGGCAGCCAAAAAAGGTAAAGGAACTTGTAAAGCAAAACGTACCATGTGCGTCAAAAAACCATGTATGCATTTTTTCTTACTAATCAAGGTCCCGCTATTCAAATTGCTGTACCAAAGGGTAAACCTATAAATGTCAAGATATACAAAAGCAAGGTCCTTCATGAATTCAAGAAATATTTCAAAAACCATCGGACAGCAACAGATCTCTGTGGAGTCAGGTTGTTGCATGCCAATGCTTCGGCACACAAAGCGGCCATTATACGGGAATATTTGAAACGAGCTTCACCATCCTCCTTATTCGCCACATCTTGCCTCTTGCGACTTTTTCCTGTTTCCGAGGCTCAAAAAACACCTTGCGAAAAAACAGTCGGTTCGGTTATTTCCAGTTTTGAACAGTATACCTCTCAAAAAAATTTATGCAAACACATTTTAAAATTGAATTAAAAGAATAAACAACTTTTTACATCACATAGTTGTGACAAGTTTGAAGGATTGAGATAACTATTTTGCCATTGTTTGCCATTGTTTGTTTAGCACTCCTGAAAATTGACCCACTTACATTCATATTTGAACACCCCTCGTATGTATGTGAGTTAACAAAGACATGAACCAGTTTAGTGAAGAAAAACAAACAATTTTATCGATAGAAACCGAAAGAGGATGTCGGGAAATAAAAATCATAATGATTGCAATATTGGATTAAAAAGAGCCGATGATCGTTAACAGTTGATTGATATAAGAGGCATGCCAATCACCAAAAGAAAAAGTTCTTTTATTGTCCTTTTAGCTCAACAACTTCTGAATGGACACAATAATTGAATGTGGAATCTTAACTTATTTACATGTATAAACACTGTAGGTTGAATTGACATTGACAGATACATGATATCTATATTTAAGTACATTGATTGAGTAAAATTAACACAAAATGACGGGTGGGTTAAATTATTTGCTTTTCATGATGATGGGCACAAATGTAGTATTTTGGCGAATTTCAGAGTGTGAATATATATTTTGGAAGCTTGATAAATTATGCAAATAAGATTAGATATTAAATTATCCTTTTATGCAATTGTGTAAAAAGTGTACAATTATTCCTATAGGATTCGAATCATTTAAAACAGAAGAAAGTAATTTGATAAAATGTTAATGTTAAGCTGGGTGAGTTATTCTCCAAACAATATTGGAACGCACCTTATAGCAACTTCGACTCGTTTTGAATGTTGCATGTATCAGAAGTATATCAATGTCAGTTGATTTATTCAATTGAAAGTCATGTTTAAATGTTTAAACTAATGTAGTAATATTTATGGTAAATTTGGTACTCTTGATATCAAATTCATAGCAAATATTAAGTGAAGATTGACATTGTTCCTAAAATTTACGAACTAAAACAATACAACGTTAAAGTGTGGTTATCTTGATATCAAAATATAAGACGACTCACACTGTTCCTTCATTTAAGAACCAACCAATATAATTTCAAAATTTAAACTAACTTTGTTTTCTTTTAATTTAAGAACAGACAATAATACATTCACTCTTGAAATTATATTTGAAAAATGTAGAACATTTGGCTAAACACAGGGAGCTGTGTTTACTGAAACGGGTTAAGCAATCTCCATTACTAAATTAATTTATATGGGGAAAATATAAACACAAAAGAGAGTACTTTCCTGTGAACAGATAATTTATTTTTATAAACAAAAAATATAAGTCAGTTTCATCACTTCTATGCCGAAGTACTTAAATAACAATGTGTAATTGAAATATATCGCTATACGGATTTATAATTTCCTTTTACTATGATCATAGAAAGTTCCCTCGATGTCTACTGATATCAACTACATTTTAAGAGACATTAACGTTCAGTACTATCGTAAGTTTATATATTTGCACAAAAATGTTTTCAAAACATATATTTCCCAAGAAAACGTGTTTCCTATAATGACGTCATGGCCTGCTAATTGATTGTATGATATATGGTCATTTCCTTTTTATAAAATATGTACAGGGACTGTTAAAAAAGGGAATTAATGGATTATTTGAGTAATGCCTTTTTATTACTATTACAATTGAACAGATTAAGTAAACTATCGTAAGTGTATATATATGCACAAAAATAAATCTCAAAACGTCTATTTCGCAAGAAATAATGTTTCGTATAATGACGTCATTGCCTGTTTGTATGATATATGGTCATTTCCTTATATAAATTATGTACCGAAGCTATTAAAAGGGGGAATAAATGGATTAACTATGCATTTTATAACTACTACAATTGAACAAATTAAGTAAAGTAAGGAATGAAAAAAACAATAAAAAAACATAAAAAACAACAACAAGAAACAGTAACTGCAAAACAACAACAACAACAACAACAACAGTAACAGAAAACATTAGAAATTAATGAATAAATAGATAAATAATATGGATAATATTTATAACAATAAAAAAATAAACAATTAAAGAAAGAAAAAAGAGCATGAAAACAAGATACAGACATAAACAAATTTATTTATAATCATTCTCGCAAGAGCATCGATAAAATAGTTCAAATAGTCTAGCAAACAAACAAACAAGCAAACAAACAAACAAAAGAAAAAAACAAGAAAAACAACAATATGTGCTATTCATTACTTGACAAACATGAACTGCCGTATTAAATTAGTTCATTTCTATCGCATTTGATATCATTTTAATGCAAACTTTATGACTGTAATATTTTCCCGGTCTTAGTGATGCTTGATTATTTTACATGACGCTTAAAAGTAGCAACTATATTTCTGAAATTTAAGAGCTTGTGATTGGTATACATGGCGTTAATTCTTGTTTCGACATTTCTTGATCCAATTAAACAATAGATATTTAACATCATTTCTGAACTGTGTACCGGTCAAAAAGTAAATAAAGAAATTTACCACATGATTCATATCGTCCATTGTTATAGAAACTGTACTCCAAAAATAACTATCCATTGGTTCAAGGACCTCACATTTCCATGATTCTTTTATCAAGATTACAGTACTGTGTACAAAATAGGGAAGTTTTGTCACAGCAAATACTATATTTATTATAATAAGGGTGAATGTTATATTTCTCATGTCTGTTTTTCTTTTTTTACCTTTTGATGTTACGTCTACTCGCACATATAGTCTGACAATAATGGCAAACGAACCTACACCTATAATGATGAAAGGTATTAGAAACTCAATGGAGAATATAAGAATAGCTGTAAAATAACTTACAGATGAAATGCAATAAAAGAAGCCATCCGATATTATAGGTTCATATTGAATTGATATAAATATGCTGATACCAAAGCATGTTGTCCATACAACAAACAAAGCCACTTTTACTTTGAATGAATTACATAAAACTTTAACTTTGTGAGGGAAGTAAACAGCAAGCGTTCTTTCAATAGTTATGGCCGCCAAAACTATAGAGGAAACAAATTTTCCGGCATTAGAAAAGAGTGGACTCATCTTGCAGTCAATATCAATGTTCAAATCGTTGATGTCAACGTCGATCATGTCCATTAGCCAGGCTGGAAATGAGCCACTAACAGAAGCAATCAAATCAGCAACTGCCAGTGAAATAAACAATGCTGATGTAGAAAACACCCGATTTTTCTTCAGCATCAAAGTAATGATGATAAGAGAGTTTCCGGAAAAAGACACTGCGGCCATTATTACTGGTAAAATTTGATAAGCTAGATAGATTATAGCCTTTTTAGAGTCTGGTAGCTCATTTGTTTCTTCGCCATAGTATACGTAGTTGTCATAATAGATGTAGGCATAACTGCTATTTGATGAGTTGTCAGACTGGACAGCTTTCTCCTCACATACTGGTAGGTTTCCCATTACTGAAATCATGACAAACATTAAAATTCAAGAACTGAATTTGAAAGCAAATAAACAAGCAAATGTTTGCATAAATAATTATGGTTTGAATAATGCATACTTCTAAAACAAGCAAATTTTGGCATAAATAATTATGGTTTGAATGATGCATACTTTAAAGTACGCATCAGTTGCCAAAGAGCAGATTTATTCTCAATGCAAATATTCAATTTTTTAAGACAAAGTATCAAAAATATACATCAAGTTTTGAAATATTTAGAAAAATGTTATATAGTAGAATACAAATAGAAGAACAAATTGCTTTATCTAAAGATAAATTGGAAGCGCATAAGACAAAATGGAATATCATCTGTAATATAAGAATTGTGGATTGAATCAATTGTAAAACAATGCAAAAACCATATCTATAAAGAAAACTAATAAGATTTGTATAAATCACTATATAAAAAGGGACAAAAACATTTTTTGTGCATGAGAGAGCGTGTGTGAGTGCCTGTGTATGTATGTATATATGCGTGTGTGCGTGTGTGCATATGTGTGAGTATGTGTATGTGTATTTGTGTATGTATCTGTGTGAGATTGTTTTGTGTGTATGTTTTACATTGCTGTTAGAATTGAATAATTATTATAATGGAATATATTATGTTGAATACATGTAACAACAGTATGTTAACTGGAATGTTTTTGTAATTCATATATGAAAGAACATAATAAATGAAAAAAAAAATATTCAATTTTAGTAAGTTACTGGTTAAAAGAAAACAAAAGTAAAGCCTATAAATAATAACCTCCATTAAAAAACTTTACTGAGATGATTGAAAGCATTATAAATATAGATGATCATTATTCTCAAAGATATTTCCTGGTCAATGCGTCTTTAAATCGTTTAAATGTACGTGATTTTTGTTTGATTTAATTAGACACTACAAAATGGCGTAAGCTAAAGTGAAAGTGTGACATTCAGAGCTTTTAAAATTCGGGAAGAACAATTCGATGGAAGTGTTGATAGGAAACAAATATACAATTGCTTGAAAAAGCAGTGGGGTAAAATTACGAAACAAGCTCACTGTGTTATAAGGTGTACGGCAGTAAATATGTAAACACTTCCAAAATGGCGGACTGTCACAGTGGAAAAGTTAGGTGTCTAACTTTTTCATCTGTAACATTTTTATTTGTTTAAATAAATATAGCAAAGAGTGCATGAAGAGCGAATGAGCATCTAAACCTTGAGATATCACGCTCTAAACATTGCCAAATGGTGGAAATAAAAACTTAAACAAGGATCATGCATTGTTTTTTGTTTTGTTTTTTGTTTTTGTTAGAATTTGTTAAATAGTTTATGTTGTCTATACAATTTGTTGTGTCTAGACATATTAACTCATTTCACGTTGGATGCAGTTGTTTTAGTTACATATGCAAATAAAATGCTCCAACACGGGCAACAAGCGTGCTTTTAACTTTAAACATTTCCTTAACAGTTTGTAAATATAGGTCATATAGATGCGGGCGTCATGCATGACTTTAAATCGTTCAAATAGATGAATTTGCCTTTGTCTTATCAAACACGTTATTGTGGAAACGTATACTGGACAAACGTTTTCGCAAACTCTAATTTCTGTATGCGACTTTTATATTTCAGCTGTACGTATAAACATTTGTCTTGTCTCAAGTACAGATATATATCTATAACTGCGCAAACGTGCTTATGTGTTATATGCAATGGAAGATAAGAACTTGTAAATACGATTTTTCTTTGCTGGGTCGGTTGTTTAGATATATAATTTATGTAAACTTGTTAGCCCCAACCGGAGGTGACTTTAGATTTACTCTCCGTCCTTCTATCTGTCCGTCCATCCGTCAGTCAGTCCATCCCTAAAAACTGTTTCTGAGATCACTTTTAAAGAATTTGAATCTTTTCCAACATAATTACTTATAATAGAGAAACGTTGAAACATTAAGTTATACATATTCATATGAGATAATTGGACCATTGGATTATCTTTGGTATAAACATAATTTCCTTATTAGGCATAGGAACTTTACTATAATAGAGACAAAGTAAGAACACAAAAGATTTAAGTTCATTCATGTCTTCCACAATGGCATAATTAAATTGTCATGACCCTTCGGAATGGTGCTGGGTTTCTAACCGGTAGGGCACTTCTGTATTGCTCACAATACTTTGATTATTGCTTGTTTTTAAGGACAGGAACTTTCAATTAAAAGGTTGGATCAGAGACATATTTATTTCTAAAATATGATAAACAAGATCAACAAGGAAAGGCAGCGTTCAACAGTTTTCAAATGTCTGGAATTTTGGCATAGAAAAGAAGCTAAAGTCATTATTTTTTTTATTTTATGTTGGTTTATGTATTCCATATACTTCGTTTATAGTGTGTTAGGTGCATGAACTGTTACATTAAGTGAAACAAATGTTTTTTTTATATTGTTAACAAGTATTATCACTTTAAACTTTTTATCAAAGGATGTCATTTATTTAAACGTAACCCCCTTTAAATTCAAAATTTAACTGTAGAACATTGTGTTTGTGAATTCTTTTTTTTATTTAACGTTTGCCTGTAATTGACGATTGATAATATCAAAATGGTAGCAGTTTGGTTTAATTTGCATTTCACTTAGATCACTTCTACATGTTCTAACAAAAAAGAAACGGATAAATGTTCTATATCATTGTGAGATCTTTACTTATGATACATTTTCTAAACAGACAATTTAAAATTTTAATAATTAAAAACATGTAAAGGAGTTGAATAACACATAAATTCAAGAAAAAAATATTTATATATTTTAGTATCACCGTCTTCATATGAATGTCATTAAACAATATTATCAAATTTATTTATAAAAGTGCACAAACCTCTAGCTTTGTTCGGAGAAAACCTGTTAGAACAACCTGTAACTGTCTATTGTTAGACTATTTCCCTGACAAATGAAGTGTTTCCTTTTAAGCAATATCTATTTTAAAAACTCGGAATAAACAAGAAGGGATGTTCATAATGATCACAAAAAAGTAGATGTATTCTGAATGTTTATCGATGCAAATGATTTACATCACAGTAATCGCACATTGATGATTAGGGAGGAGATTTCATTGACTGACCTGTTAATAGACGTTGTTTCTGAGGTTACTGGTTCGATAATTATCGGAGGCAACATTTCTCTGAGACAATTGATCGGTGGGCAATTAGTCTTCTTGTTAGCCTGGTGGTTATTCGTCTCTCACCGTTGATTAAGTTATCATGTGGAATTATTAGTCAGTCACTGGTCACTTGTCAGAAAAGTCTATTTGTTACGTAGAAATACTGCCGATATATGACCAAAACTGTTTTACAGCGTGTAGGCATAAAAACCAGACAAACAAACAAACATAAATATTTATTTAGAAAATAAGCTTCTTTTAAATTATTGTATTATATAGGAAGTGTTTTGAATGGACCCCTGCGCCACACATTTATATTGTCTGTTTTATTGCACCAAAAGTTTTCATTTACATCTTGCTTTTAAATATCTTATGAGTAATAAACGAACACTTTAGACAGTATTAATATGGTTTTAGTGTATTAAAACGTTGTATGACACATTAAAATGATTAGAATTTTAAAAAGGCACACATTTTTATCTTAAGTATGCAATTTAATCTATCCTCCTTAAATACATAACCGTAAAATGATTCGACTATAATCTTCGACTTAAACTCTTTTTACATTTCCCTCGGGGGATAATTATCTAAACCATATTGTATTTTGTGCCATTGTAATGGAAATATGATCTATTTTAAAACACCCAATTGTCACATTCCTTGAACGAGACAGTTATGTGGTTATTTGAGGAAACATTAGCTTGGTGGATGAACCTTTCCTGCATTTATTTAATAATGGACATTCACTATGCTAGATAAATCCTTCATTGCAATGAACCATAGCCACTGCTTACGTCTTTTTCACATGTGAACATGATTTTGTTGTGACACTGTTTGTGTATAAAGGACAAGCGGGGCTAAATATTCTACAACTACAATCTGAAAAAAGTCCTTAGGCATCGAACCTGCAATTCATAGGTTGACAGGCAGATCTGATCAAGTAGGCAACCGCTCCCTTAATAAGATGAATATAAAATATATAACAATAAAAAGATATGTTTAAATAAACTACATTTTGTGTGATCAATTCACCTACAGTATTACCTAGGGACCTACTATTTGAAATCGGGTGCTAGGGGGCGTGAGGGATGTTGCACTTATTCATTATCCCTCATGTACAGACTCAGTCAGCCCGAGTCTTTAATTTTCATGTAATTTTGTTGTGATTAATGCTTTCGAGGGATCACTGTGTTTTTCTTAAACTGACAATATGCTCTTTTAAAACAAAACAAAAACGTTGACAATATATTCCGAGGACATTTATAAAATTTTATGTGTACCACGTAGGTTTTGAACATAAAATATACTATAAAAAGGAAAGCAATTGTGGTAAAAACTAAACTTATTTTGCCTTTAACTTGTACAACCATCATTTACACTAAGATATGCATAATGTCACATATTTTTGATAAATTCACAACAATTCTTCACATTCTCTTTCATTTTCTGACAGCATTAGATACCGTATCATCTGTCTATGATAATGAATGTTCCTGGACAGGGTCATGCAGATTTTCAGCTTTGCCATGTTACGCGTTATTTATCATACTTGACAACAAACAACATAACAACTGCAAATGGATGTTGTTGGAAAGTTTGAGAAACATGATCCGATATGACTTATCTCTCTATATATAATAAATATTAAAGAGCCTGTAACTAAATATAATGCTCAAAATTTAATTAAGATTTATCAATATTGTAAGTTTCAAAAAGCATTATTTGTAAAGATATTATCGGATTTAATTTCATGTTAATAATGGGAGGTAAGTAGATATTCATTTTCAATAAAATAGAGAAGAACAGAATCCCCAAAAAAAGTCCAACACTACAAATTGAA